GGAAACAGGCAGCAGGAGACCTGGTGTTAGCGAGACCATACGCGACGAGAGTGGGTAGCCGATCCACAGCCTGTCAAAATGCTTGGAGCGTTGGGCTGAACACTTTGCAAGGCAATTTAACCAACCTGAGTTATCTGTTTCTTTTTGCGCATTAAGCGCCCTTCTCCCTGGACCGTATGCTTGGATCCGCCCTAATGCGCAGAAGTTGAACGTGAGATCAGGCTGCTAAAATTGCATAAGGCCGCAGAGGCAGATAGAATTCCCCCAGCCCTCTTCAAATCCGGTGGACCTGCTCTAATAGATGATTTACACGAGTTGCCAGTGAAACTTTGGGAGCAGAAGACTGTCCCGACAGACTGGAACCGCTCCGTCATTGTCCCAATTTTCAAAGGAAACTCCCGTTCAGAATGCGGCAATCATAGAGGGATCAGTCTGATTTCGATTGCCTCTAAATTGCTTGCTTCTGTCTTTCTCCACAGACAGACTGGCACTCGTGAAATCCAGATTCATGCAGAGCAAGCCGAGTTCCGTCGAGGTCGTGGCTGCATCGACCACATTTAACCTTGCGTCAATTATTGGAACACCACCATGTTTATTGACGACCCACCCGTTGCCATGTTTCTTGACAGAAAATGTGCCTTTGACTCAGTCGATCGATGTGCCCTTTGGGACTGTCTGCTGAGGAAAGGTGTGCTTGATAAATATGTAAACATTATCAAAGCGCTGTACGCGCATAGTTTGGGCAAAGTGAGGGTTTATGGCAAACTGTCGCCAACCTTCAGTATCACCAGCGGTGAGACAAGGTTACCCGCTGTCCTCCATAACTTCGCTAATGATGAAGTCATGGAAACATCGTTCGCTTGACACGACCTAGAAGGTGTGGAGCTACTTCTTGGTGAGCGACTTCTTGACTTAGAGTATGCGGACGATATTGCCCTAATCTGTGAAGGCTGCCAAACATGTCAAGTTGCAGTGGACCGATTAGCACTGACTGTCAATCGTTTAGGGCTATGCTTTGCTCCATCGAAATGCAAAGTACTTCTCCAAGATTGGCAGGGAACCAACCCTTCGCTAACGCTTTATGGTGATCTACTAGAAGTCCGTCAGGAATTCCAGTACCTGGGCAGCTATCTTATCACCCGTGGGATTGAAGATGAGGTTACGAACCGTATGGCAAAGCTCGAGGAGCTTTTGCTAATCTCCGCCACCTGTGGCACAGACGCGACATTACTCTCACCCTGAAGGGCAGAGTTTATAACGCAGCCGTCCGTTCAACTCTCCTATATAGTTGTGAAACCTGGCCCATCAGGTCGACAGACATAAAGAGGCTCATCATATTCGATCATCGCTGCCTTCGCAGCTTAGCTCATGTCTGGTGGGAGCACCGCGTGAGCAATGAGCGTGATCGGCGTCGCGCATTTGGTGCAGGAAGAGCGAGTGAACCGCTCATCACCATTATACCACCCACCAGGCTCCGATGGTTGGGCCGTGTGTTGCGTATGCCAGCACACCGACTCCCGCGACATGCATTGTTTGCGCGTTGTGGGTGCGGTTGGAAGAGGAGGAGGGGAGGCTAAGCGATGACTTGGTCGAGAGAGATGAAAACCCTCACTTCGAAGCTGGCGTCGGTTGGTGCATTCCGACTGCCTGGCTGGGTTCTGCCTAGCTGGGGGATTGATTGGACACACTAGATGATATGGCTTGGAGCCGGCCCCAATGGCGCTTGTATTGTGAGTTCCTTTGTCCATCCCCATCCTGCTTAGCCTCCTCCTCCAATCACGATCTCATTCGTTAGGCATAATATGACTCTCTGTTTACCGCACGATAGCCAGTTTTTAGCTCTCCGGAACGATGACTTTCCGTTACTGGGGACTCAGCGTGCACGCCACTGTTTGTTTTCCTTCTCTTGTCTTTCGTATTGCGGCGCAATAGTTGAGATGTTTTCCACCTGTAGCTAACGTATATAATGATGATGATGGTCACCGTAACGCAGGTTGCTGTCTTTGCCAACTTTTATGCCATAGGTAGCGCTGTATAAATCACAGTGCATATGCGCATGGTTCACTGAGCGTACAGTTGAAAGAAAAAGCATTTAAGTTATTTGGTGTGTTTGTTTGATAATAGTTTTATGAAGTTCATTAGGAAAGTACACTTTCTTTTAGCAAAGCGTTGCCCAGCACCAGCATTATGCCTTATCCGCATTGATTATTTCATCTAAGCAAGTGCCTCTGAAGCATGGTAGCCTATTTTTAAGGAATTCTGGTAGTGTTCTATTCATACCGCGTAATGTATATGCTTACAGAGAGTTAAAGTGTCTACTGGGCTTAGGACTGTGTAAGTCCCCATAATCGTTACTTTATGAAGAACTATCGGTTCGGATCACTCCACGTCCAGGCCAATCACTCAACGCTTAAACAATTTCATGCAGTGTTATTTAAACAATATTGATCGCTAGTATGTTAGTTAGCAATCAGGAAATATGCCGTTAACTTGTGATGATATATAATATTGTATATGGATGCAAAGGAAAAAAGTGATTTTCTATTGTATTGCAACTAAATTTTAGTAACTCCACATTGAATATAAGGTTTGTGAACCTAAAAATTAGCTAAGACAAATAACATTACTAAAATGCTTTGATAGGAAAAACATGACGATTAAAGCACGAACCGCTTTGGAGTCTCTGATGGGGACACCAAGCAATTGATTTCTGCATAAAATAGCAAATGATTATCCCAAAGGTATATGGGAATTCATAGCTTATATAATTCTAATGTGGACAGAAGTGCATACTGTTCGGATTAGTATAGCTACTTGCTATTGGCGTCTTGGAACGCACTCCCAGACTCAGTGGTATCCTCTCCTACCTTGGATGTTTTCAAAAAACGACTAGATATTGCTCTTAGCTCCCAACATGTTGTTACCTAAACTCCTCTATTGTGGATTACGCCAAGCATATTTTCAACAGGATTTATGTATCAAATGGACCCAAGTGAGCACCATATTTTAATTTGCCCACTCCTTACCTCAACCATCACTGCACCCCAGTGTCTTTCTGAACGTTTACGCGCGATAATTTTTTTCATTTTACACTGAGGTTAATTATCAAAGTATTCATCTCGGCAGACGTTCCATAGATGACCCAGACATATTGTAATTTCATCATCTTTACCGCAACTATCCCACGGAACGCGTCAAGCACTTGCTTTTATCCCTTGATAAATCATTGTTCATTGTCTAAAACTATTGTAGCCTGACGTTGGATAAACTTGGAAGAAGGCGAATATCTGGCAATTGCTCCAACTCAGTTAGTTGAATGGCATCCGGGGATCGAGGTAGTGGGTATTACGGTGGTGTTTCAGAAATGTGAGCAAACACTACGTATTTGACGGAATCATTCTTGACTATAGGATATGCATTTCATTAAATTATCCACTCGCTACAATTCTTATGCTTTTGGGTGGGGGCCAGAAAAACATCTAAGTAGGGGATTAAAAGCATAATAGTGCAAGAAAAATTAAGTAAATATTTGAATGCACCCTTTTGTCTAGTCACGCAAACCTGCTGCATCCCTGCTTTTTGAATTCTGCAAGTGTATAGGTAGAAATTTGCCAAGTTTAGACTCACACATTCAGCCTTCACACACTTGGAAAAGCACTGTACGTGTGTTTCATCCTTTCGGGAATCGTCAGCAATGCGCATTTCATCGGACGCTGGTAGGGCTCGAACCCGCAACTCGACTGTTGCCAGTCCGTGGTTGAGACCACTGAGCTACGGGGAACGGCAACGACCATCGTGAATAAGTTACTAGATGTGATATAGCGCCGCTCACTATCCACTGACTTACACGTTACTGTTGTGCAGAGGACAGGGTAGCCCCCTCACCAAGCGACGAGCTTACCAAACTTAAGCCGCCAATTATCTTATGGCATTATAAGCAGTTTGGTTTGCGTACTGATTACAGAAGAGTAGTAGGAGGAGTTGAATGGTATAGGTAGAAATTCGTCACATCTAGGCCACTCAGTCAGCCGTCACATGCCCGGAAAAGTCCAGTACGCGCGTTTCATCCTTTCGTGAATCGTCAGCACTGCGCATTTCATCGGACCCTGATAGGGCTCGAACCCGCAACTCGACTGTTTCCAGTCCGTCGTTGAGACCACTGAGCTACGGGGGACGGCAAAGACTATCTTAAATAAGTTACTAGATGTGATATAGCGCAGCTCGTCCCCTCTGTAACTTCCGTCATTGTTTTCTATTTTGCTTTTTATTATATTCTTCCAATTTTTTCCCTAAATTAACTATATGCAGTGTCCCCAGTAACCCACAACTTAACCAAACAAAGGAAGAAAAATAAGGTTTGCGCTTTACCAGTAGACTTTAGCAACAATTGTACGCATATGGACGGGTAAATCTATTTGTCTCACAGGAATAATCCAAAATTAACAAAGAATATATAGCTTGCAATAATTTGTTATAAGAGGTACGTAGTTTCATAATGAAGAACAACGCGTTAATTCCTCCTATCCAAATGAGACTCAATAATAATAATAATAATAATAACAATAATGACGCTATATTCAGATTTAGTATGCCCAGAATCTATTTGCTTGCTCTACCTATGGTTTGGAAATGCAATGAAAATGCAAGCGAAGAAGATTGGTTATTACCTTTTGAGTCGTTCTGAGCAATAGTGTTGGAAAAAAGTAATGCGGCTAACAGTACTCACCATCCGAACTCCTACAGCACTCTTAATTAGCCAGAGTAATATGCTGATTAACTAAACGAAGATTTTGTAAAGTATTGAAACCAATGTGCACGGATTGTTATTATCAACGAAATGAAAAAGAAAACCGTAAAACTGACACATGAGCAGAATACATAGAAGGTTAACTATGCATATATGATGACTAAAGCAGAAGCTTTCTGAACGGAAGTTGCAATAAAGCGACTAAATCTGTAGCATTGACAGACTACATGTGCATCTAAACAGTTGACATAAATTAGCGAGTCTGCGGGATTGTAAGCGATTTGTTCGTGTCGGATAAAACACCTTCTGAGCAGAGTTTTTCAGGAAAATTATTCCAGAAATTAATATTTCGGTTTCGGGTTCCCTTTATGTGGGATACAAATCCAGAGACTGGTAAAGACGAGCATGCCGTGGTGATCTCATAGAAATTGTTTGATGGGTCGTTGATAGAAACAGGGCAGCTCGGAGATTGAATAGAATTTGGATGAATGGTAAGAAATCTGGATAATTGTGTGTAGAATTCGGGAGAATGCAGTGATCTTTGGTTATCTGACTTCATCGCATTAAATTTAGTCATCACCTTATGGAGATATTTCGGAGGAAGTCTTTTCTGAGGCCCAGCGGCTGGCTGGTGGAACTGCAAAGTATTTTGTCCGGTATATTTTTCCGCCATCCGTGAAAGCGCAATAGGATGTATGCTTCCATTGGATTCATTTGGCTTTGAAAAGTCACATGCTCTGGATCCGGAATGGTCAGAAGCGGTTATACATGGAATGAATCCTGACGATTCCGATGCAGTTCGTGATCCAGTGTGTCGCCTCTTGTGTAAAGGGAAAGCTTTCTGACGCTTCTCTGAATCCGCAGGTTTACATACACTTTTGGCTTCAGGATCACCCATTAATGATGAGAGCGAAATCGGAACCTTGATTCCTTTGATCGATCCATTATTTTCTAATGTTGTAGATGATTTGTTCGGTATTGCGGCCACCGGATTAAATGAGTTCGGACAAGGGGGATTCGCTGAAACAGTAATCTGGCCGTCTAATTGTGATATAAGTTGTAACACGTCAGCACTGTCGTTGATGGAATAAACATTGTTTAAATGCATCTTTTTTGCTTCTTCCCGATTTTTGAGGTCAGAGGTGCAGTCTTTGCGCACTCGGATACGGGCACCGTTCCTAGGCTGCCTCTCGTTCTGCACGGCTAAGATAGGAAAGATAGTAAACAGAAATATATAGAACATGAATCCAGCAAAACTTGATCTCTTTTGACCTCCTTATATCAAAAGCTTCCGATAAACATATATGCATGGGACGATACTGGCGTAATATTCCAAAACATAACAAGGGAGTATAACATTTGAGTTCAGCCAGCCACTTCCTTTACCTTCAGAAAGCAATACTGTGATAGCTGGGAGGCAATCCGGCAGTCTCTGGTGTAGGAGATTCAGATGACAATGCAAATAGACTGTGCATACTGGCAAGAATATATGCTTTCATACTCAACCGAAGTGGCTCACCACCGAAGATATTTTAAGCGTAAGTCAGCTTATATTTTCGTTCATTTCCAAATTTCGGGTAATTGGCTTTGAATTGTGCGGCAACTACAAACTACATAACATAATGAAGATTACCAAGTTTTTGATGCGTTGTTGCTTGCATCACAGATAAAGCCAATTTTGACGACTAAAATGACGCTTCACGCTCATCATCAGTGATAAAGGCAACCTATCTAAATCATCGCTTTATGTGCAGCGTCCTTTTATTGTACATACAAGGTAAGAAGTTTAGCCAGCTAGCGACAACAAATACCACATTGCCGCTAACCGATGAAATATTCAACGGAAATTCTGTCAGCGTCGTCCATACTATGTGTGACATATTTGAAAGATTGTACTTATCGCATTTCTGCCAACTACACGACTGCATGACCAGTGGATGGTAATATCTGCATAACTAACGTAAGGCAGATGTCTACTTAACTATACTACGGTATCTCATTTTTTGATTGGACTATCAAGACGGTGGCCAGACTCTTGCATGCAATTGAACGTGTGTATCGCTATACTAGGCAGAAGTATGAATCCCGATATAACTACTTTTACAGCTCCACTAAGTTGTATTTCAGGATTGCGTCAGTATGATCAATTTTGATAGGGTACCTTCGGTTTGACATACAATCGATGAATCGAGGGCAATCAGTCAGTACCATGGAGAGAAATTCCCGACACTAGCGATTAAGTTTGAGAATTTTGGAATGGATGCCCGTTGAACGTTGTGTACTAAGGATATTCGAAGATTTCGGGTCAACTTCTGATCGTCGAATTACTTGTTGTTAATTCCCGCTGCTATCACAAATAACATGAATTTGTACAAGTGACGCGATACATGTTGCTACTAAATGAATGAAGGGTCGAACTATTACAATGGAGGGAGGGTTGCTGTTTACAAAACACTACTTGTTAACCTGTAATCATATGCTTAATATCAACATTAAATCTAGCCAAAATCAAGTGTTGGCTGCTACAGACAAGAACAGAGCATGCCTTAGAAGGACCTAGTCTTTGTTTACATCCGTTTTACCGTAATATGGCAACGGGTACTTCAAACAGGTTCTGTTATCAGGTAATTATTAAGCTCAGTGAATCTGTTAGAAAAGATTACTAGCATTAGTTCAGCTCTGCATGTTATCTAACAAAACTGAGTACATGATTTTTCCGGTGACTACTATAATTTCGGTAATAGGGTATCAACTAGCTTCAAAGCAGACTTGTTTCACAAAATTATAAATTTTGATCACATCAACAACTAGATGTTTACGTGCAGTTTCAATGTTACTGAAGCATTATCTGATGGACATTACCCAGTTTTCTAAATAGGTTCTCCATCGGAAATTATGATGATTAGATTCGGTTTATTCGTTTCGGAAAATTGATTTGGAAGCCGTGATGCACGAACCTTCAAGCTCCTAATTATGGACACATACTGGGACCAGATTGCAAATTACTGAAGGGGGATTAGTTGAATGCATAACAATGCAAACTATACCTTCAGTACGCTAAAGAATCTGTTAACTAACCATCTTTGTTCATTCCCATTCGAAGACATTTCTTCAATCGACATGCTTGGCATTGGTTTCGATGAGTCTTATCAATAATACACAGACCCGTACCTGCTTGACAGCTGGAAATCGGCAATATACAAAAAGGAAAAAGGGGATTCTGATTAGTTGAGAGAATTTCCATATAAACTGATTGCAAAGAAGGCCCGCGTATCCAGTTTTAAGAAAGTTAAGCGCATTTGCGATAAGAGAAGAACAAATCGACAAAGGCGGTACATAAAACTAGATTTCCTAGAAAAGTAGTGAAATCACATTCGAACTGAGGTAAGTTCCAGGCATATGTTTAGAAACATGTGTTAATGTAAGCACCCCGCTTAGCTTGCATCGGCAATGTCAGACGGAAGGTATTGATTATCTAGTTGGCAGTATGTAGGCAAAGTTACAATGGTAGCTAATCATGTCTTAGCCCTGCTCAATAGGTCGGGCGATATAGCAGCTATATAAACAATGCTCTCCAACACAGTTGTTAATTGCTGTTTTCTGGGTTTTTGTTAAGAATAATACTAAGATGCGTTTTCTAGTAAAGGGGGGAGCTCATCTGGCGAAAACGCCTCGGTCATACGTAAAGAACTAGATCCAAACTGGTATCACAGTCATCTTTTGCAGGATCGTAGGTAACTTTTCAGCAATTTCGTTTAACGTTGTCAGTGAAGTCGACCCCATCATGCCAAAAGTGCTTCAGATTAGACAACAGTCAGAAAACTTTAAATACCTTTCAGGCAGCGCATCCAATACGGGGACAAAGCAATCAGCATTAAACCTGTGAAAGACAGGTAAGGTACAGGAGATTATGAAGCAAAGCATAATTCTTATCTCTGATGATAGTGCAAACAGCACATAAAGGATTAGGACAAACATAGCGAACACATGCGCAATGTGGAGCCAACGAAAGTGTTATTCCTACACCAGAAACGATATTAACTAAGACATATGGTAAGCGATATATAAGTTTATAAAAAGTGAGATGAAAGTCAATTAAAGTGAACTACGTACTTCACACATAGCAGTGATTTTGAATACGAGCATAAGGTGCATAAGCTAAATAGGGTAGCCAGGTGACGTTTTCTAACCTACTAACTTTCCTATTGTTTCCTAGGCAAATGAAGTGTTTCCGTCTGAATGTGTACGGGATATAGAGCAGGGCTCGCAATATGTGGACACATATGTGCCCAGGTTTTCCTTTGGTTCTCCGTAAGTCACTGAGTATGAGTAAGAAAGCAAGAGGGGACACTCTAGGAGGAAGAAATGCAATACTAGTATTATTTATCCAACTAACAGAAAATAAAACCAAATTAGAGGCCAGTGAGTGCAGTCGTTGATCACTACCTCTTTAGCGCTTGGAACAGGCTGCAATGATAAACGTTTCCCCCTCCTCAGAAGTCCAGTTTGTACTGTGAGCCCGGTGCTAGAGTCGAACTTATCAGCGCGATATGCGTGCAGTCACTCATTCGTCTAATTGGGGCAGACCAATTCATTAATATTTTTTATAGATAATAATCCTTTTGTTCCGCTTTCAATCTGCAAAGGTTGGATGAACTTTCGAAAACAAGAGGCAATCGGTTCCATGGGACTGGATGTTGAAAAGCAAAGAATTTACTAATGAAACGTACTCTAATATGTGATAATATTTCCACTTAGTGCTTATTTGTTAGATCCTATCGTGAATGAAATTGGAATGCCGAATAAAAGCAACTGGCATTTATCTATCTTGAGAATTTGTGAAGCAGACATTGATTTAATATTAATTTTCAAATCCCTAAGGCTTCCGTTTTGCATTTGTCTTCGGTTTCTATTACTGAGGATTTACGTGCCGTCCACAGACCTTTTACAAAGGATATGTGTGTCGATTTGATTGCTTTCTGTAGGTGGTAGGCTTCATTTGCTACAGCGTGAGTTTGATCAATACGGCTGTTTATATCCGAGACACTCTGTACTTTATGTTTTCCTTGAAATTCAACAAACTTTATTAATTGATGCATTTCTCACAGATCACATCACTTTAGAGGTGGGATATTGTGAAATTTTGAGCAGCTCGATTGAAATACCTATCTGTAGCACATCACGTTATACTTGCCCCTTGAAAAGTATGCTCCAGGTGTGGAAACTAATTTGCTATTACTTGTTCTCCCCCATTCACTGCACATTTTTCAAACAATTGCATATGGTTCGTAAGGGTTTCATCGACTTTTGTGATAACACACAATCTGGATGAATTAAAAAATGTACGTAGTTTTTTAACTGAGAACGTTTGGAGTCTGGAAGATTCAAGAACCATTCTCGTTGTCATTAATGTGGAAACCTATGGCGAGCCCTTGTTTGCCGAGAAATTTGATCGGTACATCATCGGGATAATTTGCTTGTGTCGTAAATAGTAATGAGCTTAATTCTTATGCTTTTTGAAACACATAAGATATACTGCTGAATATGTTTCAATCTTGTGACTTCCTTTTAGTCTACTTAAAACCCCACCGAACTAGGGGAATAATATAATATGACGTTATATCATGTGACCTTTGTGGCTTGGTCTTCCAGCAGATGCGACTTCTGCACTGCTTGTATCGTTTCTTCCAATTAGTTTTTCGCTCAGAGGTTCAAGTAAAAATATTACTAACCTTAACGTACAAAGAACAAAGCATCTATTTCAGTGCTACATGAATGGGCACGATCATTTTATAAATCAAAGGATGTTTTCATGCTAATCTGCGGAGCTAATAAAAGAAAAGGCGAAATTATATAGCCATAAAAATTTTGAAACGCGGAGAATCATTTAAGTCCATGACTTATCAAGTATTTACAACGTTTCACATCCACGTTTGACAACTGAATATTACCAAGCTTATCCAAGTGTCATGCAAGTTTCATGCTCATAACATAATATCAGGGATTCATTTCGACCAAAGTGTTTAACCAGTCAATTCAAGCCCAGATGACCCATTTGCATGCTCAACTATACAAATCCAACTGCAATCGATGGATCATAATCGTGCGGTAAAGAAAAATTAAGCTTTATTCTTTCACATACGTCTAACAAACTACTACAACTTACAAAATGAAGCTATAGCAACAGTGGCTTGAGGTAATTCTAGGAATATATTTATATGGCCTAGAAATGGATGGTTTAAGTTTGGAGCAAACATCTCGAAAATGGTCGGTTAGCAATCGGTACAGGAGACGCGGTGCGTTGGCGCAACCTAACATCTAGAGACACTAGGTTAGCATTGCTGTAACACATAACACAGTAAGGTAGACGGTTGAAAGTAGTTGGACGACTGTAGTGCAGAAGTTATAAACGATTTCCTGGTACACGGGTGCTTACACAATCAACTGAGTTACACAAGCTGACTTCACAAGAACCGCTGGAACTGCTGTTGCATTTGCCCTAATAATGTGCTAACACACCAACATAGTGTAAATAACTAGGTCATGTATTAAGTCTAATTACAGGCCAAGAAAGTTTATTCATTTGCTACGCTAACGTGAAAAATATTTACGAGTTAAACTCATCTGTAACAACAGAGTTTGAAACATACTATACTGGGACAAACTAAACCTATTACTCTGACGTCATATGTTTCCACATAAGATTACTTATCCCATTCTTTGTATTTATAACTTCATCGAATCACCTACAGGTTTGCTCTATTTTAACACGACAAAAGATTCGAGGTGTGTTTATAAACTCTAAAGTAACGGAATGAAATAACAGCTTTTTCACCCAAAGTACAAGGTTGATTAACACGTTAGCATGTTGTAATAGTAAAAGACCCGTTTTATGAGACCAGTTACGCTGTTTATGACATTTTGTCCATTCGAAAAAAAGAGTTCTAGGCATCCCATCATAAAAACATGGCAAAGTTTAACCGTTGGTATGTAATTTATAGAGAACTCACCGATAAATCAACCTGCGTCTGACGGACCTCTTAAAGAATCCACTGCATCCATTACAAGCCAGTATTCCATAGTGTTTACCACTGCTGACGTCTCCGCAGACTGAACAATATAGACCTTGGGAGTATAGTTTTTTAGGGTCACCGAGACGCATGAAATATTCCACCCTTTTTTCATTCAAACTCCTTAAAATGTTCAAGGTGAAGGGGCTGGGTGGTCCAAAACATTTTAACTTGTCCTCCGGACACCCTGCGGATTCACTAGTGCATGATTTCTTCTCACCATCAGAGTACGATTCCATTCCATCCAACTTTGGATCTTTTATTTGACGCATTTGTACGTCCGAAGTTGAATCGCGTAAACCAAATTCAGTATTAAAGCTCCCATGGTTTGAAATTGGTGGAGCGCATAAGGGCGGAACTTCTACAGGGCAATTTTTCAGCAAAAATGCAAGCCAAACGCTCGGGTGAACCAACATATTAGCTAAGCTCCGGCTTGAATCACTGTCTTTCAATTGGCTGGGCAGCCACGTTGTTTCGGATGATGTCTTCTTACACATGTCCGACAAGTTGGCTTCGGTATTTGATGAATTATGTAGTAGAAGCTGTTGATTTGTTTGTAATTTGCTCCCAGAGTCAACGTATGCTGGGGTGTATGCATTGTGAATCCCGGTGACACCTATAGGAGACGATAAAGCTGCTACTGTGTGTGCTCTGGAGCAACCATAGGCTACACTGTTGAGTATCTCTAACCTAGGGGCATCAACGGAAGTATTTGCATGTGGAACACTGTTCGAATTTTGTTGGGGTTGGGAAAGCAGATGCCAGATGGAATAGCTTGACTGAAGTTTGCTGTCTGTAATGTAGGTAAGTATAATGAAAAGTATGTTAAACCTCGTACACAAAAACTCACATCTTTTAACAAAATTAATTGGAATATAACAAAAGCTTGCACATGTCAGGATCAATATGTTTTGCGCGTCACCCAGGTAAAGTTGTGAATCCTGGTAGATACATGCTGATCTTTTAACCTACATTGTGGCCCACAAATTCCCTAACGCGATTGTTCTTTAAATGACATTATTTGCTGACGTAGAGATTTTGTTCCAGTTGCAGTTGGATACACTAGTCACAGAAATTCGCTCCATCGCCGTTCCAAAACACATAGTTAACAGGTGGTTGAAACCAGTTTATAATACGTATCGCGTAAGATTGACGAAAATATACCCATTTATTACGAGTTGCCAGACGGTTGTATCGCATAAACCAAATTAAATTAAGAAACGGAAAGCATTATGGTTTAATCTCTGCACTACCCCATTTCTACGACACGTACTCTACGCTACAATTGGCGGATTAAGCAGCTTACTTGCTGCTTATAGCAGCGTCAATAATATGTCGACGAAGTGCTTATATCTATTAAGGACAAGTAAGTTGATAGGTGGGACAAAATCTTGTCAACATTGGAGTTTGTTAACTTTTCTAGGTTTACTGTGAAAAATATGTGTAACTTATTGTATTCGCAAAATGGAAAAGTATCTTATTTTATAACACTATGACACTTCCATACCGAACTGCAACTTCAGCTTACATAACGGTCTTCCTGTAGCCGGGTGGTAGTTATCTATATCATCCACGGATGCTACTTAGCGTTGTAACCAAACGCTGTCTCCGGAAAGAATTTAACTGTTTCGGATTGCCTGACATGGTAAGCCAATCCACTTTAATGCTACGCGGGTGCAAATTTGGTCAACTCAAATGGTATATTGCAGTTTCTCGATGAATTAAACAATAGCTACTTCGCAATATTGGGATGCTGGTTGACAGAGCTCTTCGTCTCTGCGATAAAATCAAGAAATTACAAGCTTTTCTTAACAATGAACAAAAGAAACCTATTATGAGGTCTTGTCTGTCGGGTAGTAAACGTGTTGTTACCGTGAGGACACTAAAGTTGCTAACGTGAACAAATTGTGGATAAATAGGTGCTCGGTCCAAAATTTAGCATTCCTGCTCTTGAGAGTTGATAAGACAGTTTTTCACGTACCTTGAGCATTTGATTTACAACAGGAACTGCACAAGTTGGACGATGCTGTTTGCACTCAGTCATCCAGCAGAAGAGTGGTGTGTTAAACTGTTGCTTTGGTTGATTTTTAGGTTGTGGATTTGCCTGTTCGTCTTTACCACCAGATGAAATGGAAAAGTGTGAGTGCTGTAATCTAGATATTTCGCAATTTACGGGTACTCATCGGTTTCTTCAGTACACACAGGCGGTATTTTTATTCCTACTAGGGGATTGTCTATTTGAGTTAATGGTAACTAATGTGTTCTGAAAGATAGAAATATGGAAGTGTTAGTTAATCGCGGAGGAAGTTTTCTAGGTAAATATTATGAAGCAACTCTGCTTCAAAAGGACTAATTTGCACTAGTCAACTTGTATCTCTCGGATGATAAATAAGCATGCTTAAGTTGGATGCCACTCACAACGGATACATGAATAATGGCTCTACCCATCCAATAGCAAATGTAGTAGCCCACTGGATACCAGCTAAGTACGAGGATGTAGTTCTCTCTAACTGCACACACAAATCTAAGCCGTCCAAGTAACTTAGCATGTGAATGACTTTCGCGTTGAGCTCGTTTCACTGAAAAATAAACACTATGGAAGCACTAATGGTGGGAAAAGATAAACATTGCAACCATAATCGGCTTTTACTTTGTCAAAGGTTCGACATACAGTGCACCTATGTTCAATAACATCGCATTTTACTGATCAAGCCTGTGAGGGTAGCAGTATCTAAACACCATGCCTTTGCTCGGTTAACCTTATTGGTAGTTCAAAACATTGTACCTACAGCGGACCTATAAATTAAGGTATGTCGATGAGAAGGCGCCTAGCTGGCATAGGCTTAAAGAACCAGTCGATTGTACAGGCGAATTGCATATGTTTGATGAAGCTGACGGGTTAATGGGTAACTCCGTACAAATACCATACGGTGGATCCTGTTTTACGTGCTTCTTTCAAACATTTCAACTAAACATTACCGTTACACTGCTCAGTGCAAGGTCTGGAATTCAGTGCAGAATTTCGAAAGCCATGGGTTTCAATTTACTTCTTTATGGACCAAAAATGTGAAAGTTATCCGTTAAAGGTGCCAACAACCGACCCTCATACTTTTGGCTGATCTTTCAGGGATAACGAACATAATAATTTGCCATACATATCGCTCCTGGAGCACGGATACATAACCCTTACTGCAGGTTAGGCATACTTCGTGATGACGTCGGTCTAATTAGATTGAACTCATGAACCTGAACGAATCTAAATTGTGTCACTATATTAAAGAATGTGATAATATGGGGAGAGTTAGCAACTGCAGGATAAGCCAGAAGATACACATCTAAAACCTTTTAAGTATCTTACAACTTTCCATCGACAAATAAGACAGTGAAGTTGTGAGCAAACTGGCAAGGCGGAGATAGTTAACGGTTTTAACTGAAAAGAGCTGAAAACAGCCGATTTATGACTGTAAAAAATGGATAGTTTACTATTGCAACCTCTATACAATTAATCAAAAATTGATGTCTGTTAGTTCACTCTTATTTGCTACAAGAAACAACGTTGCTGTTAGTCACTTCCCCTTGCGATTTTTCATGCCCGCAAGTACAATACCTTCGTCTAATTTATGAACCGTAAGTAGCTTGGAGGAGACAAGAATTTAAGTACAACTGCTTTACGTAAAAATCTAGATCCGCGTCAGTAAGAATTTACAGAGCGATTTTTAAATAATCCACTTTGTTCGGCATGAAATACTGATGAGTGTAATGTCTTGTTGTTAACTTACAAAGGTTGCTTGCAAACATTAGGTCACGGAATAGGGATATGAGTTCCGAGATGATAGTAAACACTTACGGAGCACGACATATCCACTAAATGTTTGGTAGCAAACATCAGAGCTCATCAAACACAAAGAGCCATCAAAAAGCGGTCATTGGTTCAGTGTAAGTTTGCACGCATTGTAGTCGAGGTATAAAATACCAGCACTAATACAATGCACATCCTTGGGAACCGTTAAAATAGCCGAATCAACGAGCTGCTGACACATGCTCACTCTATGCAGTAGACAGAGTGACTCCTTCGATATCTGCTTATTAATGAATTTGACAGAAGTGGCGACATCATTTGCATGCGCATAGGCTGCCGAATCGACAACTCAACTGGCTGAAGGAAACGACTAGCTTGGAAGACCGACAATGCGTACCCAAGGCAATTCTTAAATTCCCTGTCTAAGTATGCCCGTTATGATAGGTACAAAGTTTCTAAGTCTTTGGAATGTTTTGTCTATCTATCCCTCTCATCATTATGTGCAGGCCAAATGAGCAAATAATTAATAAATGCTGCAAGCGAATGGTTGCTCACTGTCCAACTACTCCAGTACGAACTGATCCAAGGATTTCTGTTTCATTCATTGCGAGTTACCTAAAGTATTAATTTTCTAAATACATTATATTCATGGTATCTGCATGAGGAGCTCACCAGCTATCATTTGAATCAACCGACTTGAATCAGCTCATTTACCCTATATATCCACGTAGAATTATGTTCTGAGGAGAGCTAAATGCTTTCACATCTCGGTTTTTCTATGGAATTGGGAGATACGTTTGATTTTTATTCGATGCAAACCCATTTCATTTGCCTTTGAAGGATGGCTTCGGGTTTAGTGAAGGTTAATTTCAATCGAATACTTCTTATATCCTTCCTCTCAAGATTTTATTAGCGTAATGTTTCGTCCCTGTGTGTTTACCTTAGTAAAAGCTAACACCTTCAAATGACCCCGGGATGTTCTAGTATCGGCACACCTAGTAACAACAAGCTCATTGAGTTCCGCAGTCATCACATAGATGTAAACTTATTGTTCAATTGAACCTAGGTATATTTGGTTGCTGCCAATGCAGTTATCTTAGAAACCCATGTATTACGGAACGGAACTTGCATCCAATATCTACAGAGGGAACTAAGACCCACAATCACTTTGCTTAGTGATATAAACATAAAATACCAATTTACGCTAGAAAGCGAGGTTGCAGCTCTTTTCAGTCTAATGCAATTTTGCCAACCGTCATGCATTTACATATCACTCTGTCCAACCACATCTTTTATATTAATAATGAATCAGCAAAGATTCCAAAGCTATATTTCTAGTGGTAACTTCCAGTTGACCAAAGGTGAGGAGATTAATTCTCTACTTGTATAAAGTAACGTTTTAGCTGAGCATTACAACTTATCCAATCGAAGTCGGTTTAGTTCGGGGAATTAGACAAATTGCTTCCTAGCTTCAGTGAGCAATGAAAATCCATCATTGAGCCTGTGGTGGTATTCGCTGCTTTTCTGTGCCACTTAACCTAGTTATGTATGCTCATCCAACCAACATTTATCCGTACGCGACCTAAATTTCCTTTACTTGAAAGGAAGCGAAAAAAGTTACTAGAGCGTTGTGCACGTAACGAACGCATTTTCACAATGCCAAAGGAGTGAAATTAGTTGAAAGGGATCTTGGTAAAAAAGGAAAGAAATAGGAGAATGTGGGGAATAAACCTTGCAAATGCTATTTACGCTTTTCTGACCAACATCTAGCCTTCTAGTAAAACACATATTTTCCGGAACTTAAGTTTCACTAGGTTCTTCAAATATACCCCTCATAAATAACAGATTGTTCCAACTAAAATCTATAGCCTATCAAACACGTTTACAGAAAGTAAAGGAAAATATTCCTCACAGGCTATACATGGCATGTCATAAGTTGCATCAGATGGATAGTATGGGTATAAGGTCAAAGTAAAGGAGCGCACAATGTGCTGTTTTACTGGTCCAGACACCCATTTATTAATGAATACAATCGAGTAATTTACATATGGATAAATATACACTAGTGATTTGGTAACTAATCAGTTATAGATGCTGATGTTGCGTGGACTGTCCCTCATGTTTTGTTAGCTAAATCAATCTGACGGCGAAACAGACTACTTCAGGAATTAATGGTGGCACACTCTTACATAATTGTTGTTTTCCATCTGACAGACTTTGCCGTTTTTACTTTAAATTTTCTCTGAGATCATTCATCTCCTTAGTATTTCTGGTACATCTTACAGGTAGTCTTCTGCACTTGAGATATGGCCCATGCAGATACGCGCTCGCATTACCTGAACAAGTTCGTGGAGACTGGCGAGACGTGTTAGATGTTATCAGCTCTGCCAAGCTCGTTCGGAATGATTTGCTCTACAATGCAGAATTCCATTCTCTTGTGAATTTTTACACCCGACAGTGTTCATTGAGCACGTCAAGAAAATATGTATATACATACAGCAGTCATCTCCGTTGCTGACCCCACGAAGCTGTTGTCTGCTGCTGCTGTGTTCGGTCTTCATACAAATGCTAGATCCGAAATTTGCTCACCACTTAGAGTGAGCTAGCTCATGCTATCACCTTGGTATCTTCGGGACACATGTCGCTTTACATTTTAACGATGGTTGTGTTGTAGAATTTTGAGCAGACTAGTAATCACACGTAGTCGAAGTTCCCAAGCCTCCTATGCTTAATACTTTAGTGCTATACTAAATGCGGAAGGTGGAGTTTAACATGTGGATAGAAGGAGTAGGTTTTAATGATCTGTTTGTTGTCATATGAGTCCTAAGTGTGCTCGGTTGTAACCTTCTAAACTGATGCCGCCGGTACTGCATAAAATATCCTTCGGTCAAACCGCATGACTATGATCGTGCCATAAGATTGACCTAAGAGTAATCATTATAAATATAGAGAAACAATTAGTACAAATGTTACACAAGGTCGTTGAGAAGAACAGTGGTTAAAGTCCAGTTTGTAAAATCTTCGTGGCATAAAATCTAAGGAAGTCCAATACCTATTGAAGATTTATGGGGATGATTTTGACAAAACTTCGGGTTATTCTGTAGTTGGAAGCCAGATAGAATTCGTTGTGATAAAGCTTCACCTAAATATATTTGACCATCGAAAAGCCAGCAGCTTAAAAACGAACAAAGATGAAGAAAAACATTAAAGGGACATGCCCGTCTTGAGTCCAGTTTATTTCATGCGTCTTCACTACATATATCTAAGTGTAGACCACTATGCTCTTGGTACCGGCCCGGAGTCGGCATAAGATTCCTTCACTGATAGTGATGGCGAATTTCACACTAACTACTGAGCTCAAAAGCATGGTAAATCTCCCTAAACGATTAGTTGCCATAAATATGATAAAGCAAACGTTAGGTTGTTACTTGAAACGCAAACCATCCAATTTAAAGAGATAAGGAATCGTTTGCAAACGTTTGTTGGGTTTGTAACTCTGCAACATTTAGATGCTAGCAAAGAGTTAAGTCTAAGAATATTTAACTGGCGCAGCTGACATTTTTGGTCAGTTCATTTGATGGTGCAAATTAGTTTTCGAAAGAATCTACCTGCGCTACAACAGTTTGCATGGTCAGGAAACGATAGCACCTAAATTGTGCACTTCGGATGTGGAATTATGTAAACGCTTCGTGGCTTATTCTCTAAAGAAGTTTAAAGCTGGATGATGAGCCTTCCGAAGATCTCTGGGAAACTGGCAGAGGTCGATTTCACATTAAACCATGACCCTAATTACGACCACGTGCCTCACGGCGGTTATTTAAAGAAAAGGATAAATGGTTATTCAGCGGGCTGAAATCCAAGTGAACATACTCATGGCCACAATTCCGAAGAGTAGTGGTATCGACTCTCCAAATCAAAGAATGTGTTTTATAATCATTACAGCGGTTGGTTTGAGAGCGTTTTCACGCAAACATGAAATGGAAGTAGGAGATTTTACAGACGTAAAAAATACAATGATAACAAGAGCTGTGGAAGCGGCCATAAACCTTTGGGATTGCATCAGTTTGTCATCTAGTTTGTTGCCGAGGCCAAACAAACAGTAGCAGACCATGTAGAATTCTATAACGGATGTACATATTCTATACGACACGGTGACTTGTGCAACAGTTTTCCAGCGTATAACATTCCCGCTTTCTCTAGGTGATAATTTTTTGAAAACTTGGAACTAGTCACTATTTTATTGATTCACATGCGTTGCAGTTCTCATACTCCTGTGGATGTATATTTGGCCTGTTTAGGCAAAATTCGCTACCCGTTGGGCAGACGTCTAACCCATAACAAACACACATGACTACTGTGCTAAGTTGGCATGACACCTAAATTTTTAGCCATGTCCAATTGGGTTCTCAGTTTTGCTATGATCACAACAGGTGCTGACACGCTTTAGGAATAAGAATAAATTGAGTAAATTTGGAGGACGAATAATCGGCGGGTAAAAAAGGGGAGCAGGATAAGTCTGATTTGCCCGTTTCAATTTTTGATCAACTTTACTAGTCTTACAATAGAGAAAGAATGATTTACTCTTCCGATCATGCCTTCCTTTCAATTCCCAGAATCAGTAAGTCATGAAAGCAGTGTGGCTCTTTAAATTCCCCGAACTGATGCCTACTAAAGTAGTGTGTTGTCTAACAACCTTATCAGCATCGTCAGCAAGTGTTTTGGGATTTCTCTTGAACCGCAGTTAGGTAAGCGAAACAATGTGGTACAAAAAGTTCTAAACTCGCACACTTTATCCATGATATCCCGCAAATTCATTGAATTTTCTAGTTGATAAGTCCTTATTAGACAAATAGCCAAAGTATAACATGTAACCTACTGGCCTAAGCACAGTAAAAGTTACCTTGGAACTTCTGATCAGAAAAACTTGATTCGATGGATATTTGGTCCTTTGAGCCCTCAACTTGAGCAACGTTTACGCATACACTGGTTTCGGCAAGTTTTCTCATTTTTGTTTTCGCCGCAACGTGTCCAACGCAAGGAATCATATATGCAAAGTGACTAGAAAGGTAGACCAATGCGTAGTTCGGGATGCATAATTTGATCTACCGAATGAAAACTAATGTAATTTGCGGAATGCGCTGTAGAGAACGTGACTGGTTAACTGAGGCTGCAAGCTCCCCTTGTGATGTGACCTAAGACTGGCACAACCAGAGGTCTGAACTGTTGCGTTTTTGACAGCAGGCGGGCTGTGCTTAGTCCACCAGCATCTCAAGTGACACACGGTGTGTGTGTGGATAGGAGTGGAGAGGGTTGAGCGGAATGAGGAACGAGCCAAGTGGTGGTTTAAACATGAGGGACACAAAGGCAGAAAAGCTCATTTCGATCAAGAGGGTGGTGTGGCTTCGCGTGTTTGCGTGGGTAGGTGGGTGATCACCAACATGGTGTGTGCCGCGTCAACTATCAGGAGAGCATGAACTGTCGCAAGCGCGTTAGCCATCTGTCACGTGTGATTGGTCAGTGGAGGCAGAGCTCTAAGTTACGTTCATGGTTCTCCGCAATGGTGTCCATGAAGTGGTGGGTATAAGGAGGAATGAGAGACTATCTCCAGACAGGCGACTAAAGAATTCGCGCTTTTGGACTATGTCGAGAACCATTCGCGAATTGGTTTCCCAATTGGTGGATAGAAACAACTGGATGTTCTCAAACCCCTTCAGTTCAAAATTCTATTTAATCAACTGGGAGACGTCTTCAAGTTCAAGTCTAATTCATTACAAACAGTTTGCCCGATATAAAACCAGTGTAATTTTCTCACAACATACAAATTTCCATTTTGCTAATTGTCAAGGGGACTAAAATGATTAGGATAAACTGCAGTTCAACACCTGATGATTGGAGAGTTCGATAGTCGGTTTCACAGCATTATCAGGCCTACCCGAAGTGAATCTACCTAGGTATCAATCTGACTGACTCCGTTCAAACACTTGGCTTAGCTGTCCTCAGTGTAGCTGACATCAGCTTACTGCGTTGTATGTTTTTTCTTACTAATATATCGGCCTGAGGCAAATAATGGGAAATAGATCGCTATTTGAACTTCTTACCTTAACATGGGCATTATTCGCAAAGTATAATTTTGATATGGGGAATACATTCAAGAAATCGCGTCAGCGCCCGAAAATTTGCACTAGCTACCGTGCCTTATTTTACTTACTACAAGCGGTATACCGAAAAATACGCGATGTTTGAAACGAGCAAGCCAAATTCATAAACTGTTAGGGAGCTGGCTACTTAACCCTCTGTTTCATGAATTATTTTAGTTGCCTATTTTCTTGTTTGCGCAGTTATCTGCTTCTGTGCTACATTTTGGACACGCCGCTTTCCTCAGCCTCATTCGCAATCGCTCACAGCTAATTTTCGCCGTCTCATTCTGTGGACATTCTGGTTGGTTTCTCTTGCTCAGCGTTCCTTAGCTTGTTTACGTGGATGTATTATTCAGCCGACACATATTTATTATACCTGTTTTTATTTTCCTGGTGTATATCATTCTCACTACCAACTGTTCTGGCATTTGTTTAAACGCATCACTTCTCCACACTGATTGGACGCCACTCGTCGTTTTTAATGGTCGCTCACCAGAAGGTTATCCCCAGGGATTAACTCCGCAGACACTATTTTCCTTGCCGCACTTCATTGGCTCGTAATTTTCGCGATTCTCATTTGCTTGTTCCATGTTGTGTTTTCTCCATGCCTGTTGGATCCCATGCATTTAGTAGCTTGGCTTCGCCCTTGTTGTAAAGCTATATAACTGGTGCCGTGCTGTAATAGAAAATCTGTTCATCCCGGCTCATCTTGGACTTCTTCTTGCGGTCGTGGGGTGAAGGCGTACTCGGCGTCACAACATAAACTATCTACCATTATTGCCCAGAAATATGTAGAAAGTCGAATAAAGTCAAGGATGAGCTTCATGCGCCTTTGGCAGCAGAATATTCGGCCATTACACAAAGAGACTCAGAATGACGAAATAACGTGTTTTACCAAGCGTCAGACAATAATCGTATCAAAAGGTAAAAGTGTTGGAAAATTGTTGATTCTAATTCCCCTAAAGACGCGCTAGATGTGAGACGATGGACGGGCAGCAGTCATGTGTCATCAGCTTTTACATTTAGACTTCTTTCGGAATGAGGAAGCTGACTGACTAATCAGCTTGATACACAAAGATTGTTTCAAGAATATCATAACGTGCCTGGATGAGTTTCTTTGAGAAAAACCATACGCAGGGTCCTGCATGAGTTAGCGTAACAGTATCAACAATGTTCTGCTTTGGAACGCCGTTTGCTCTAGTGACATCTTCAGTAATTGAAACGCTTACGAAGGACTATGGGAGCAACACTTCCGGAGGGATGAGATGCATGCGATGACAATGCGTGGCATCAACAACGAGGAAAAAAGCTGGACCAGCGGCCTGAAACGTGGAATAGAAACTTCTTATCTTTTGCGAATACTTGGTTCAAACGAAGTTACCAACATAGACCGCTGCCCAGTTTGAAAACTGGACACTTTACGCAGTTGCAGTAGTGCAATGTTTTATCATTTATGTGAAGTTAAGCGCTCTCCCATATGAGTTGCTTATACTGGCCTAGTTTATACAAAGGCGAAGTGCCTCATTGCATTTTACTCTCTGAAACGATATATCATGATCTTTTGGTCACATGAAAGATTGCACGGAAATGATTGCAACTTGAATGATAAGGTTATGACTGGATGTTTGATGCCATGGCTCACGTCGTGCAAGTGCCAAAAGTAATTTATTTTCTGGAGCAGATGCTGGACGGAAATTACGTGAGTGGAAGAAATGGCGACTGAACAGCCACTGAAAAATAAAGGAGCTTGTGAAAAGGAGATTTCATTGCCAAGTCGGATGAACTATGCAGTTCTGATGAAATGGCTTTTCAGTGCTCGGTGACAGGATACTGGCTTCCAGTATCAAGTAGCTCGTTCAAAACGGCACAAAGTTGTACGACCGAAAGAGATTTATTTTCAAGAGAGTAGATTTGTTTGGATTTGATCGTAATCTCCAGCGATGAGCGAGCTGCATACACTTGGTACACGGCAACATTTATTGCAAGCCTCGAGTTACGGGGGTTAAACTAAGAGGACCATCTTCAAAACAATTCATACTAAGTCAAGCATTATGCACCCATATTGAAGCATTTTCGACGCTTCACACTAAAATTGTGAATACAATGCAACATAACATCAATGAAAAGAATACACAATGAAAAGGAAAGTAAAGAGAGTGCATTTTCACCCAAGCAAATGGTTTTGTAATTGATGCGTCATTGCTTTTAGATGGTCTTATAAGTGGGGCGGACTGGACAAGATGGAGTTGCGATATGACAAGGTATGAGAAAAACGTTAAATTTTGACTGCGTGAAGCAATAGAAATAGATACCATACCGGCCGAAACAATACGTAGGTTGAAAGGATGGTCGTTTAGTAGATTGAGTGAAAACTTGAAGCACTCATCCAACTGCTTATCAGGGATGAAATTAATGCGAGTTCCTTTTCTAATCCATAACATCGAGAATAGACTATGATGAGTGCAGGAGAAGGGTGGAGCCTTTTGAAGAATCCGAGGAAAATGCCAGAGCAACAAGGGAACGGCGATGGAAGTCTCGGTTGTTCGCTTAGCATAATCCTTCCTAACAAAATCTAGTAGCATAGGTTACGGAGAGCATTTTGAGCCCAAGTTTAGTAGCGTAGACTTCTGACTTTTCAAAAACCTTCATCAGTGCAAATTGCAAAATGAGAAAACACCGAGAAATTTCAGAACAATGCATGAAGGAAGCATTACCTACCAACAGCAGACGAAGGGATGTGTTTATGAGGGAACGTAATCTGTCAGGTCGGAGGAAAGGGAAATGTCACATTCACAATGCGGAGGGGTTAAGTAAGTGGGACGGGTGCATGAGGAATTTGTGAGTTCGTCTAATCCTTCTTGGAGCTTTGATGATTCCTCAATTACGAAGGCTATACACCCTAAGACGATGTCATCATCATCATCATCATCATCATCATTATACATGTCAGCTAGAGGTGGGGAAACACCTACGCTATTGTACCGCAATACATAAAGGAAATACATACATAAATACAATACATGAAGGAAAAATAAATACGACAGTTGCATACCAGCTGAGCTACCAGCAACGGATAAGTACCGTTCCGGTAAGCTACCAGCCAGCTACTAGGTAAAAAAGGAAAAATATTATGTTTTACGCTAAGAAATGAGATCATAGGTGGAAGGGGAGGCTAAAAGGGATGGGGAGGGACAAAGAAACTCATAGCACGAACGCCACCTAGGTCGGCTCCTTGCCATGTCAGCAAGTGTATCCAGCCAAACGTGTTCCCCGTCTTTTGGACCCCAACCAGGGAGCCGTGAAGCTCCAACTAAGGCCAGCTCCGAAGTCAGGGACTTCATTCCTCTGGACCAAGTTATCGCTTGGCCACATCTCCTCTTCTTCCACCCACATCCCCGGTGAGCAAACAACGCACATCGAGAGAGCCGGTGGGCTGGCATGCGCAACACGTGGCCCAGCCATCGGAGCCTGGTGCGAGAGATAACGGTGCTTAGCGGTTCATTCCCTTCTTCTGGGACGTAAACAAGGCGTCGAACACGCTCGTTACTCACGCGGTGTTCCCACCAGATGTGAGCCAAACTGCGAAGGCACCGATGGTCGAACGTAACTAGCCTCTTCATGTCTGCCGATCTTAAGGGCCAGGTTTCGCAACCGTACAGTAGGGTCGAACGTACCGCTGCATTGTACACTGTACCCTTCGGGGCAAGAGTGATGTCGCGCCGGCGCCATAAGTGGCGGAGGTTAGCAAAAGTGCCCCGAGCTTTTGCTATACGGTTCGTGATCTCGTCTTCGATCCCAAGGGAGCTGATACAACTTCCCAGGTAATTGAATTTTTGAACGACTTCTAGCTGGTCCCCACCAACGGTCAGCGCAGGAGGCGATCCCTGCCAATATTGGAGGAACGCTTT